AAAAGATTCTCATTCAGTTGGTGATATAGCAATTAGGAACAAATCTGGAGATGACTACTTTCCAGCTGTTACCCAGTTGGAATGGGTCCGAATTTACAGCTGGAGTCCAGCTGGAAATTATAGCTGTTTCCAGCCTGGATTTTAAACTGGGATGCCACTGGTTAGAGGGGAAAGCCAAGGACTTCAGGCTTACTTTCCTTTAATGCATTTTACCAGTACTTTCTTGCTATCATCAGGACCAGAAACAGCGCAGTTCATCTCTTTTGTATATATATTGTACCTTTTAATCCAATTACTCGTTCTACATGAGACTTGATAAGCTTTGAGATCCGCTGAAGTGCCTGTCCATCATGGCTGCGGCCACGTGTCCTGCTCGTATAACTGATTGGCTCTGGTTGTGGTACTGACGTTAGGCATAATCCCATTTACCCAGTATGTCATGCCAAAATATATGTGGAGTGTCTAGGCCACCGACAGACAGATGCTTTACACCTGTAGCTTAACTGCCCCCTTATGCTTTGACCTCTGTAACTTAATCGAGCTAGCCTAATTTGAATTAAAGTTACCAAACTCATTTGTGCTCTGTCACAGAGGCTAGCTGACAAAATTATTAAGTCTTCCATACCCTATCCAGATGTCAAAAGAAGCAGCCCCTAGTGATGCAGAGACGCAGGCTCTCTATGGAGAGCTGAACAAGCAGGTAAAGAATGGGGAGTTGGAGAAAGTTATCAAAACTGCCAATAAAAGTGAGGAAACTGTCTTGCATTTAAGCTTAAAGTCTAAACTTATGGCTTGCAATCTTTCAACGGTCAGCATAGACCTGGTGAGAGTTTGCTTAATCTGGCTAGGTTCATGCTTAGGCCTAGGGAATTTGTTGTTTTTCATGTAATGGTGCCTAGGCTTACATGTTTATATTGGGAGTTCAACTTCATAAAAGGAAACCATTGTCTTCAGTCCTTCAGAATCATCAGGATGAAGAAAAAGCCTTCATCTGTAAGGTTGTTGCCATGCTGCAGTTGGGGAAATTCCAAGATGCTTTATCACAGCTCACCAATACAAGATACAAGAAGTTTGAAAAGTGAGTCTGAATTTGTCAATGTAGAGAGATTTCAGGGATGCTTCTAAGTGAATGGCATAAATGGTTGGGCCAGCCTGGGCTCTATTGTCCCATAAGGAAAGAATTTGTGTGAATGAACTCCTTTGCTCTCTATTTCCCTTGAAAAGAAATTCCTGTTCCAAAGACATAAAAATTCACATAAACCATTCCTTTAACCCTAATCCGGGCAAGGTGAGTCTGCTGGACTCACTACGACATATTTCGGTCTATTACTGTCATTATTTTTTTAAACTATCAGGACCATTCAATAAATTGTCTGTATTATTTTAGTTACAGTACTGTTATTTATAAGAATACATACCGTAACCACAGCAAACGGCCTTATTTTACATGAGTCTGACAGACTCACCTTGCCTGGAATAGGTTGTAAAAAAGCTTGCCTGGATGAGGGTTAAAAGCTTATTTTTAAGTGAATTTGGGAGCAGATGTGATGGGAAAGAGTACCGTAGTGGATCACCAGGAATGACTTCTTTGGAGCTTCCAAGCATCTCCAATGTGGCTTGTATGAAGAATATTGAAAATGGGGAAAATATTCAGAAAACACTTGCCTTGGATTCTGTATGTAACAGCATTCAATGTTAATGTATATAATGCAGGTAATTCCCACTGCATTTTAATGGTACTATTGAGCTTGCAAACAAACAGCACAAAACAGAACTGATAGTGGCCATTCAATATTTTGTTGCTGCATGCACAAACTATACAGATTTATCATGCTATCAGTTTTCTACTTTGTCCATGATTGATGGACATGGGCATAAAATTATCCCCTTTCAGGAAACATGTGATTGCTGACTATTGCACAAGCTCACACCTTGCTCCTTGTTAAAATAAGATCTCTTTACACAATATTTCTTGTGTACTGGTCGAGTGAATTAGCTAGTGAATTAAATGTCAGCTGTGGCTTCACATTCTACATGACAATTTGGGAGACTGAAATGTCATTGCTTGATGAGTGTTAAGATGTTTGGCTGAGGAACAGAGTTCTACTTGAATGGAAGTCTCTTTGGAATATCTCTCCTGCTACAAGAGTGAAGGCAACAATTTTCTGTCCTGCCTTACATTATCAAATAAAACACAGCTCCACAACTATGAGCCTGAGTCCTAGGGGTCCAGCATGGAATGGAAACCTTGACTCTGCACTATAAGGCATTTGAGACCTAGCTGGTGGTCATGCCATAAGCCTTATGGGACCAAAGAAAAATGTTAATATGTTATAGTGTCTTGACATGTTTATCTGTCATTAATTTGTTATGTGCTGTTTTTGTTGGTTTTAATATTCCAGTTTCTTATTTATCTTCATTGATTAACATTGAAGGAATCTGGTTTTCGAGAAGGCATACTGTCTCTATCGACTGAATCGAAATTCAGAAGCGTTGAATGTCATCAGAGAAGGACCTGAGGGAGACATGCATCTGAAAGAGCTCAATGCCCAAATCATGTATCGTCTGGAGAGGTGAGTCACTTTGTAGAATAGGCATCTTTGCCTTTTTATTGAGGTTCATTCCTTTTCACTGAATGACAATGAAGAATGCTCTAGTTTTATGTCTAGTATCTGCTCAATATGCACATGTGCCTCCAGGTACCAGGATTGCTTTGAGCTTTACAAGGACATCATCAAAAATACCATTGATGACTATCAGGATGAAAGGGAAACCAACCTGGCTGCTGTTTTTACCAATCTCATATACGAGGGCAAGGTCAGGCAACTGAATTCAACATATATTGTAGAACTTGCAGGATTGTGCATGCCTTTGTTGAATCAGGCAGATTCATTTAATATAAATCAGAAAGTTCCTGTGCTGTTATGGCAGGATGCAGAGACATCTGGGGTACGCAGTGATACATTTGAGTTGGCATACAACACAGGCTGCATTCTCCTTGCCCAAGGGAAGTTTCAGGAAGCAAAGAGCATCCTGGAGAAATCAGTTGAACTATGCCATAAGACTCTTGAGGATGATGGCCTGAGTCCAGAAGAGATTGAAGAAGAAATTGGCATTATCCGGTGAGTTTCAGAGCACCTCAGCATTGCCCTTATGATTAATAAAAATTCTTCTTTAGATTGCATTTGCCATAACAGTTCATTGCCACTCAGGACTCTGGACTCATGTGTATGAATTAAAAATAAATAAATTGCTGATTTGTCTCTTTGATATTAGTGTACAGCTTGGCTATTGTCTGCAAGTTTTGGAGAAGGAGAAAGAAGCCCTTGCTCTGTACAATGCAGTACTGAAAGCAAAACCGCAAGATGCTGTACTGACTGCTGTTGCCTCCAACAACATAGTGGCAATCCATCGAGACCAAAATGTGTTTGATTCCAAGAAGAAAATGAAGATGGCCACCTTGGAGGGACTTGAGACCAAACTGACCAAGCGACAGCAAAAGGGCATATGCATTAATCAGTGCCTTCTCAGCCTATATGTGACACAGGTGAGTGGAGACTTATTCATATTAAAAAATGATGAAAAGGTCAATGTTCCACTTTGTTTTTGTCATGCTGTCATACACTGGGCTTTCATGAGGAATGCCTTAGCTCAGGGGTGTCAAACATACGGCCCGCGGGCCGGATCCGGCCTGCGGAGGTGGTTAATCCGGCCCGCCGCCTGTTCTTGAAATTTCCGCTTGGATTGACTGATAGCACAAATTTAGGTGAAAAAGTATGGATGCGGCCCGCAGGCATCTGCAGGATAAGGAATGCGGCCCGCCGACCGATTTGAGTTTGACACCCCTGCCTTAGCTGAAGCATTTGAGAGCATGTCATTTATTGAGATGAGGAGAAAGTTGAGGCTTAATTTCTTGTGAAACAGAGTGGAGTTACTTCCGATTTATGAAGTGCATGTAAATTAATGGTCCAGCTTGTGAAACTTTTGTATTTGCATTTTCCTAATCATGCCAGACTTTGTGCTGTGCTTGACTGTTGAGTGTATTTTGTATATTCCAGATGGACCTATTTAGCCAGCTAGTGGAGAAATTGGAAAGGGAGTACCCAGATCTGAGGGACCTGGTTGTAATCCTTCGTGCCCTTGAAAAAGTTAAGGAGAAGAAAGTAGATGATGCTCTTGTCTTACTTCGGTCTTCCCAAACTACAGACAATGCATTGAGGATGCAGCTGCTGGCTGCTCACATCCTACTCTCTGAGGCATGACTGCTTACTTCCTTTTCTTCTGCCCTATTTCTTATGAATTAGTTGCATCAAGCATTGGTCTCTGCAATGCAGGACCGGAGGATGGAGGCATGCAAAGTGCTGGAGGGTCTGCCAAGGGATACACTATATCAGCCAGGGATAATCTCAGCCCTGGTGACACTTTCCCTTTCTCTAGGGGACAGTCACAGAGCCTCCAACATCCTTGCTGATGCCGTTGCATGGCACCGGAACTCCCCTGTGAGTCCAAAAGAGTCTTTGCTTTTAACAGGCACACAGAATGCAACTCAGATTTTGTAAGAGTCAGTTACATTACCGTTAAGTTACAGTTAGGAGTACTAACTGATTATAACTCAGTCAAAAACTGTGAAGTAAAATGCTCATTTCCAATGCAGAGAATGTTTCTGGTTGCCCTAAGCATATTCTAGCTCTACAGGGTTCGTTTTTATGAATGGAAAGTATTACTGCTGGGTGTTCAAGAGCAAACCCCCCCAACAAAGGGGTAAGTTGATCAAAGGGCCTCATACGGATCCTGGGCTGCCATTCTTTGATAACTTGGAACCATAAAAATCTGCTTCTGGTGCTGCTCGAACATGCGTTACCCTTTTGTGGCTGAATTAAGAAAATGAATAACTAGGAAATTTTTTCACTGCTTTTTCTATTGAACAGGCATAGATAAAGACAGAGCTTGCAGAAAATTTCAAATATTTACTCATATTCAAAAACTGAATTTTTTAATTACAAAAAGCATTAACTGAAAATATTAAATAACTGGCCATTGTTCACACATGGGGAGCCCCCAAAACTTGGCTTTTGTCCCAATTTTATCTGTCCATTCTTGTAGCATGCGGGCATATTTTTTCCCTTTTAAAAGAAAAGAAAGAATATTATTACTTATTTTGTCAAAAAATCCATTTCACAAAAAATCAATCATTTTGGGTCACAACTTTTCTTTTTGATCCAGCTTGGCTGAACTACAACCTATTTGAATGAATGATGCATCACTGAAAAGCCCTTCTTGAGAGCTATTAAGCAGTACCATATAAAACAGGTTTTGTTCTATGGTAACCACAAGAGCATTCTCGAAAGATATGATCCTTATAATGATCATACGCCATGAAAGAGAAGATGAAAATCAACCCCCTTAAAATCAAATTCTGACTTATGCATGCTCATGCAGGGGAAAACGTGACCAATTCCTGCAGGATTCTCCAACTTAACAATAACATTTTGGCATATAATCGAGCAGAGCCCTTCATGATAGTCACCTCTGAATGGCATGCATAAAGATGCAACTGGACACAATGCAAAATTGTACAGATAGATTTCTCGATGCGTTCCTCTCAACAGATTTGGGAGGGGCGAACATGAAGCGCAACAAGATTAGATTTTCACTAGATCTGTTCCCCATCCAAAACCTGTGGTGGCATCATCAAGAAGTTTACATCAGTGTTTATAATAGAGTCTAAGGAAGAGAATGAGACTAATTTCAAAGTTCTGCTTGGAACAATGCAGGAGATAAAAGCCTCTGAAGAGACACATTGAAATAGTGACCTTTGACCCTACTACCTGTCCACACTGGTGACCTTAGAGTCTCGAAAAGTGGCTCTTGGTCCTTCCTTCAAGGTCCCTAACAATAATTATAGAGCAGAATTTTGATCCATGGGGGTCAATTTTTAAATCTTTTTTATGCACCTTAACCTTATATAGGTAGGCATTGTGTATTACCTTCCCAATCTCAGATAAACCAGAAAGGTGATAGTGCAGGGAAGTGATGGGGGTTAGGGGGATGCCACCCTATACACAAAACAGGAAACTCCTTCCAGTTCGGGGACTGGTTTCCTCCTGGGCCAGTGGCAAATTTTTCCAGTTACATTTGCAAGAGTTCAACAGTGAACAACAAGATTAAAAACCTACTTCACCTTATGTTAATGCTATAGGTACTTGCAGACAGAGATTATTCGCTCCGAAATCTCTCATTCTATGGTCTAGGGCAGTGGTTCTCAACAGGTGGCCCACCAGTAGGTCGCGGAGGTGCTGTGGATGGGCCGTGACAAGTAATCGTAAATCTAAAAATGGGAATTAACAGGTAGAGGAACAATAATTATATGGCTTTTAAGTCTGTAGTGGGTCGCGTATCACTTTGCAGTTGCTAAGATGGGCTGCAGGATCAAAAAGATTGAGAACCACTGGTCTAGGGCCCCTGTTCCACCTAGTTTTGATATAACCTGTTTTCCATTCCAGGCATCATCAAAGGATGCAGTGAAGCTGACTGCACTGTGGAGGCAGAGCGCTTCACTGCATCTCAGAGAGGGACGCCCAGAACTGGCTGCAGAGAGCCTCACGCAGCTCTATCAACTGTATCCTGATGATGTACGCACCCTTGCACAACTCATCACTGCGTATGCTCAGGTAAGGGTAGAATTGAACATAATTGTGCCTTTTGACATGCTGGCAACTAGGCTAGGCAAGGGCTAAACTGATTATTGTGATACTAAAGTGGCTGGGTTGATTGTGAACTTGGTTCCTGAGTGCAAAACCTACCAATTTGGGTGCATGTTTACTAGCATCAACACCAACATATTTAGGAAGGGAAGCACCTGAGCACAAAGCACTCCCATCTCCTAAAATGGAATGTTAAAAATATCCAGAATTTAAGGCTAAACTCCTATAGCATATTTACAGGGTGATCATGAGGGCCAATTTGAGTCTCCTGTCACATAATCTTAGTGCAGACAGTGCATGGCCGTGACTTGGGACTCAAGGTTTCAAATGCCATTTGACAATGAAACTCCCAAGGTTTTCAACACCTACCTGATATATGTATTATCACATCACTGCTATAGCAGAAACCAGCAAAAACCAGACAAGGTTCCATCCTGATTTTTGTTTATGAATACTCAATTATATATCACCCAACCATTCCCTTCTTTCATAGAAAAAAGTTTTCATTCATACAAAAAAAGAGCATGAAGAACAGGTGAAAAGTAGTTAAGCTAATTAATAGACCTATGTCTAATTGTTCTCAAAAAGAACCCAAAATATGCCCTCTTAGCTGTTTCTTGTCATTATTTACCACTGCTTTCTTTCCCTGTAGGGTACGCTTGAACCCCTTCTTCACCTTTCTTACTGGAAGTAATATATTATCTTCTTCATGTGAGTTTGCATACAAGGTTTCATTTTGTTTCCCTGTTTTATTCTAACAGTTCAAGCCAGAGATGGTTGGTAAATTGAGTGAGCGGCTCCCACCTCCACCACAGACAAGAGACCTGGACCAAGACCTGGACTCCCTCGAGGGAGTCACTTGGGCCCTTGGTGCAAAACTCCTCAAAAAGGGTGATCTTCAGCCCCCTACCATCAAGAAGACGTAAGCTTCCATTTTATATGTCCAGTTACAGTACAGTACATGTGCCTAAGGGAAAACTATTTGTTTCTCATGGGGGACCAGACCCCCCCCCCCTAGTTTTCCACCCTTCTCTTTCCAAACCATAAAGAAAAAAGCATGTTGTTAATAGCCGTTTGGTGATGCTGTTGTAGTGAGGAACTGTTGGAAAAGGGAAGACAGGAGAAGAAGAAGAAGAAGCGAAAGAAGCATCTGCCCAAGGATTATGATCCTAATGTGGATCCAGACCCTGAGCGATGGTTGCCGAGGCGAGAACGTACTGGATACCGTCGCAGGCGCGATCGACGGGACCGAGATCGGGACCGCAACGTGGGAAAGGGCACTCAGGGGGCCACCACTGAACAGGCTGACAAATTGCAAGTGTCTTACCAGTTCATCTTCCATTCATTCTCCACTTTTATGGGGGGGTTTTCCCATGCCTGATAAAGAAAGCAGACATGACATGTAAAATTTGAAAGTAGGTCCAGCTTGTCCTCTGCTATTACCTTTGGTTTCCAATGCATTTGATTTGCATTTTTGAGTGTGACTCTTGATGATTCTGATGATACTGATTGTGATGAGACTAAAATCTAGCATTAGCTGGAGAATTTGTTCTTTCCTGTCATAGGATGGAAAAATAATTTCAGTTGCATGCTGCTGAAAATCTTAGTGAATAACATGGTCCATCATGTGAAGGAGCCCACCTCCTTAGAGGTGCTATGACACCAAGTTACAGCCATGATTAAAACATACAGCAAGAGGCGTTGATGCTATGTGCTGTTTAAGCCATGCTCTCGGTTCTGAGCAAAGCTGGTTAATTTCGTTCATGTTGTGTTGAAGAGTCAGTATGATAGAAAAATATGCAAAATCTTCCCATTCTGGAGTGGGAGATGTGGTCAAGCTAGGCAAGTAATGTTTCTAACATTCCCATTTTGTATGGCAGGGACATGAGCAAGCAGAAGGGGAAGAATGCCGTAGGAGGAGAGAACGTTGGAGGTGGAAGTGGAAAACCAGCTCCTCCTGCGCCTCCTCCTTCAGGCAGCACGAGGAAGAAGGGTGCTGGCGGTGGAAAGAAGAAGGGGAAGCATTGACCTTATTGAAGAAGAAAGAATGAAATTTAATAAAATATTTTCCTCCATTTTGGTACATGTTTTACCTGCCTCAATCATACCTCAAGAAGATCCGTGAGGTATGATGTATCTTCATTTGTCGTTCTACAGGTTAATTGGGATGTTGGGAGGGACTCGTTCCCATATTGTAAGGTGGATCCTATCCCTGCCAATAAAAAAAAGGGAAATCTCGGAAGGGTACAGGTTTTAGAGCATGCAGAGAATAATTCTCCTTTATGGTCGCTGGTGCAGTACAATTAATCCAGAATTTAAATAGAGATGGCGTTAGTGCATATGCATCAATGCCCTGTCTTCAGTCGTATATGCGCTAGCGGCATCTATTAAATTTTGTGGTGAACGCAGACCTCTCCCCTTTTAGACTCTTGTAGTACGTCACCAGCCGATTTAATTTCTAGAACTGGTTTAATGATGCGTAACCACTGTCGCGAAACGAACCCAGAAAGCCAGGTGCTTTAACGCATTTCTACTGTATTGCGATCCTTGAATCATTTCTCGAGAACCTGTAGGACCTTCCGGTCTTCGGTGTCTCTTTCTCCCTTTTCATCTCAAGTCATTAGAAAAATGCTGTAGATATTCAGAGGAGAGGTTCCTAATGGAGACGTGAGAGGTCTCATTTTTAAGTGCTTAATCGAATACGAAGGAGTATGGGTGAAACAAATCGTAACACTCATGTCCCCCCTCGTCATCCATTGCTAAAATTATGAGTCACTATCAAAACTAAGCAATCGAGTCCGTATTATCGTGAGAACGAGACCATTCTGGCACACCATTTTTCCCACGTGCCTTTTCGCGGGTAATTACGGAAACAACACCCCATTCACAAAGACAGGTCTTGAAGCATATAAACCTTTTGCTCCGTCTGAGCCTTTAGCGTCCATACATGCAGGGCCGGATTAAGGATTGAGGGGCCTAAGTATGAATTACAATTGTAAAAAAAAAATGGAAGGCCTTATTAGCCTCTGGGTTAATCCGGCCCTGCTTGCACGGGATCAATGTAACCAGGGAGTCCATAAAAAGGCTGCTGAGCGCGAGCACTGAATTGCTTCGTTCACTTGCATCTTCCATGTTCACATCCCCCACCAGACGCACATTCATCCACATTCGCATTTCCCCTATCACTCACATTTTGCACGCTCAAATCCTTGGTTCTTATAGGCCGTGCAGCTGAAGACCGAGGCGGAGGGCTGAGTAGAGAGTAAGGACTGACCCTTATGCACTTCTGTCAAGAGGAAGAGAAAAAAAATTATTTCCTTCTGGACGGGGAAAAATTCATTATATCCTGCACTGTTTCTATCTGGTGACACAAATTCCTTCGTTATATCAGAAATTTCTTTATATCCAATTTCGTTTGAATTTTTTTATCATGGGTGTCTATGGACACTCGGCCGGGCAATGTCAAATGAAAATAATAGCCAACATGGATTCAGTAATAAATGCAATCTATTCCCATTCTCAGGAGCCTCGTTCATCTCAACAGGTGAAAGTAAAATATCCAAAAAAATCCATTTAAAAGTTCTTCCATAAAACATTCAATCACACTAATTTACAAAAGAATCCAAACAAAGTCACACACTCAGACACAACAGGGCAGTGTTCCCGAGTCCCAAACGGGTTGTGGCAGGGTTGTGGCACGGGTCAGCAAACCCCAGACCAAACAGCGACAGATCACCGAGAAGTTCACTTCCCTGGTCGTCATACGTTGAACACATGGACACAAAGAAGTTTCTTCAACTAGTCACCGTGCCTCACAACAGTCACCGCTCTGGTGAGCACAGGAGTCCTCACCCCAAATTGGATGCACCACGTCTGCTGCAAGAACCTCCTCTCTCTCTCTCTCTCTCTGCCTCTCTTGTTTCCTGGTCCGGATCGGGGGCCGATAAGGTCTCGGAGTCCTGACACAGCCATCCTCGAGGAGTTGGTAAGTGTTGGTTGATCATTGGGACCTCACTGGTCCGTGGGGGGGGGTTGAAGATCGAAGCATCATCATCATTATTATTATTATTTTAAAAATTTAATAGAAGCTAAAAGCTCGGTGGGCCCCGCACCATGCGGTGGACTGTCACATAGTATACCCGCCCACCATGGTGAGACCCGCCCGCCACCAGGGCTGGCAGAGTGCAAAACCCTGGCGGAGCTAATGACGTAGACATGGGAAGGTGTCCCATGACTAAGGTGCGACACGGGGTCACACCAGGGTCCCTCCCATCTAACGTTTTAGCCGTTACGTCTATTTATCTTTAATGACAGAGATAGGCATTTAATAAGAAGCAACCTGTCTTTAAGTAGGTTAGTAATTGGGGCAAATTAATTTTAGGTCCACATTTACAAAAAATAAGTCTAACCAGTTTACGTTTATCGTTAAATATTAACATATTTAATTAATAAAGAACTTAATTAAATTTATTTTAGATTTACATTATGAGAGAAGTGAATTAAGGCCCCAAAAGGAAGGAGGGTTATGGGAGATGAGAGGGAATTTACATGAGAAAATAGAGAAATGGGTATGGAAAGTGAGAGTCAGGAAAAAAAAATCAAACAAAACATTAAATATACAAGACAGCGCAAAAAGAGAAAGCAACCTAGCTATTATAATGGCAAAGGGAAAAAAACGTAGGGAAGAAAAAGTAATAAAAATTGCAGGCAGCAAAAAAACAAAAAATGTTGACCTGGAAGGCAACAACATATTAGTATCAAGAATAACAAAGGCAAAACAAAATGCAGAAAAGAATGCAATAGAAGAAAATAAGAGGGATTAAGGCACAACATAAATACATACAAAAAAAAAGCACATTAAATTAAACACCGGTTTCTACCTCTGTTCCCAGTCACTCAAAATCTCAAAAGCACGTTAAAAACAAACATCGCACTGCAAACACAAGAAAAGCAAGAATAGGACTTTAAAATGAATTAATTAAAAAACTTGTTTCTTGAGATGCGTGCAGTCCGACGAAGATGGGTGGTCCTCTTGGGATGTCTCCTCCTGAAGGTCCTCTTGAAAACGGCGACATCTCTCGAACTAAGAATATAAATAAAATAATAATAATTAATAAAGGGGGGAAATGATGACTTCAATAAGAATCGAGGAACTCGAAGGATGTTGATGAACCTGGGGTCTGCTTGATGGAACGCGAAGTTGTACTGGATGAAGTTCACGTATCTAATTGGGCAGAAGAAGACGAAAGCATTAGTACAAAATGTCGAGGGTAAAAAATTTAAGGGAAAACACTGCTAGGAAAGAAGTGAATTAGTATGGCTAATACGAGGCATAATCACAAAAAATAATGACATGCAAGGCAAAAGCAAATTAAAAATAACATGTACATCAAACAAATAAGTGCACAATTAAAACGTCAGTAACAAACATGAAAAGCAATTCTGGGACAGAGGCAGAAACCGGACATAAAACGTTAAAACAAAAAATCGAAAAGAGAAACGCAAAAAAAGAGACTTGAAATCTAACCCCACCTAAAATCATGAAAGGCATATTAAAATTCGCAAACACAAGAAAGGCAACAATTAGACTTAGATTGCATTAATTAAAAAACCTCGTTTCTGGAGATGGGTGCAGTCCAGCGAAGATGGGTGGTCCTCTTGGGATGTCTCCTCCTGAATGTCCTCTTGAAAACGGCGACATCTCTCGAACTAAAAAAAGAGAAAAAAGTTAATTGAGGGGGAAAATGATGACATCAACAATAAGAATCGAGGAATTCGAAGGATGTTGATGGACCTGGGGTATGCTTGATGGAACGCGAAGTTGTACTGGATGAAGTCACCTATCTAATTGGGCAGAAGAAGACGAAAGCATTAGTACAAAATGTCAATGGTAAAAAATTAAAAGGGAAAACACTGCAAGGAAAGAAGTGAATTAGTATGGCTAGGGGAAAAGGAAACGATTAATGGCTGAAAAGAGCATGATTAAAATACGAGGCATAATCACAAAAAATAATGACATGCAAGGCAAAAAAAATTCCTTTTCTCTTTCGCCCGTTGCAGTTGCAAATTCGGATTCGTAGCTTGGAATCAAGCGGGGCTCCATCGGGTTCACGTCGCGAATCCGCATTCGGGCTCCGAGAAATGCGAGATTCTCATCTCCAAAATTATTCCCTCGCGATCGACGATTGAACCTCCGAGACTCCCCTCGAACACGAGGCACATTTTTATTCGCTCTTGATTCGCGCAGACAACGTGGAAGCTGGTTCCCATGCGGAACGGAACGCCGATCGGATCGAGATCCGAAACCGCCGCGATCGCGGCGGGCGGCGGAAACGAAGAAGCGGTTTCTACGGGGTCGTCGCATTTTTCGCGTCGCTGCTTACCTCTCGATCGATCGTCTCTGTATCGATCGTTCTTGAAGAACACTTGCTGCATTTGCTCGATTTATCTCATGGAATACGAGGGGTGTTCCAAGAGTTTCGGGAAAACATTTCTTTAAAAATAACTCGAGGTCGTGGTGGCCTGAAAATTTAACCAAATACGGCCCAGGGTAAATTAATTAAAGTGTGCCCTGCAGTCATATATATATATTTGATGCGGCAGCCTTCGTGGTATTAAGATGGGAAGGGACGAACTCATTTTGCAGCAGCGTTCCGTGATCCGTTTGGAGGGCGCTGGCGGGACGGAAATCCATCGTCGATCGGAAAATGTGTTTGCATCGGAAAGCCTAAGTAAGACACGGGATTTTCAGTAGATAAAAAAGATTTAAAGGAGGACAGGTGACGATTAAAGACGCGAGCCGTAGTGGGCAGCCGTCGGTTGCAGTGACTGGTCAAAAGAGTTCAAATCCTAGGCTCCCCGTCGAGAAGTTCATGGCGACAGTTTTCTGGGACCACGAGGGGCCATCGTTCATCGATTTGTTTGTAACTGAATGCCACCATAAACGCACAGCGACCCCACGAGACTCTGAAGAAACTCGAGGCAGTTCCGAAGAAGAGGCGAGCATTGCGTGGGATGAAACTGCCTTCTTCATGACGACGCCCGCTCGCGCGCTGCTCTGGTACCTTCCGCCCTTCTCGCCGAGTTTCAGCGGGGTGCTGTGCCACATCCGCCCGACAGCCCTGATCTTGCTCCCTCAGAGTATCACCTCTTTGAGCGTCCGGAAAATCACCTTCGGGGAACTCATTTCACAGAAGGAAAGGACCTCAAGGACGCAGCAACAAGCTGGCTCCGACAGAAGCGGCCCGCTTTCTTTAAGCAGGGTATATATTGTTTCGGTAAAGGAGTGGAAAGCATGCGAGTCCGCTTGGGGTGATTGACCCCTGACCTCTATTTACAGCCTCTGCCACTAGGTGTCACTAGTGAGCCCCGGTGTTTGTTACTCGAGATATATAGTGGATTAAATTCAGGAGTTCTCTGGAAGGCCGTATGTGTCCATACGGATGTATGGGCACATATGTCTCAATTATAATTATATCATCAATTATATGCGCTTGTCCCGATGTAAAATTTACAGAGTTATTTTTAGAGCTACACGCCATGAAGTAAGGAAGTTCTGCATGCCTTCCGACATGCTGAGGAATCACCAGCAAAAACGAACGGTCGCCGTTCGCAAGCCAGTCCCAGCGAGGACTTCCAGAGAAGGCTCGACGTTAGCCCTGAAGGGTGGCGACACCTATCGGCCCGGCTAGACCGAAGCCCGGGAAAGCAACGGAGAACGTAGGCCGCTGCGATCAGGCATCCTCCAAGGGACGTAACCGCTCGTCCTCTCTACCGCAGTTCGCGTGGAGGCATTAGGATGAACCGCGTCGGTCGAGTGGGATCCACAAAGGAAGCGATCGAGAACGACTCCGGCTCCCGGACACCAAAACTCCCCAGCGCCGTCGGGTCCGGCGGATGAACCGATCTCGATCGTGGATGAATAAATGATAATAAACGCCTGTTTTGTTGTTCACGAACTTCCCATCGTAAACTTATTTCCACCCAAACCACGTACCGTAACAATATTCTCTGCCCTCCCGGTGGCAAAAGTGGCAAAAATCAACTAGGTAAATATTTTGATGAATAGGAGAGATGTTAAGGAATATGCATATGAAGTTTCGTTACATTCGAACAGGTAGTTACTTTTTTTTAATTCATTCCCGAAACTTTCGGAACACCCCTCGTTCCAACGCTCGTGTACTCTCTCGGTCAGTACGGCGCTGTGCTCAGTACTCGGTCAGTACTGGTGAAGCACGATGGTCTTATACGGAGTGGCTCGATGTCAGCGACGTGCTCGTCGCCGCATGGGGCGAATAAACATCAGTTCTAGGCTTAATCCCTTCGAGGAATATTTCGATGAGAACTTCCGCGCGAGATGCCGATTCGGTAAGGGATCGGTGAATGATCTCGTCGATCTGCTTCGACCTCAACTAGAAAGGAATGAAAATCGCGGAATGGACCCATTAACTTTACGTCAACAGTTAAGAGCAATTACGGTTCATGTGCAATGAATCGTGATTTATTCACGCCGTCCCCTGAGTAATTAAGCAATACGACCCGAAAGTGAAAAGAAATGTTATGAAAGCCTTTCGATTCGCAGGTACTGCTAACCCTTCGATTTTATGCGGCTTCGGTTCCTGGAAATCGAATGGCGCAGGCATTTGCTTCCCCAGCTCATCACATTTCCAGGAGAAGAAACGGAGTAGACGTTCGAAGGGAATTATTTTCTATTGCTGGATTTCCAGGAATGATCGGTGCCATCGACGACTGTCGCACACGAACAGGATGCCAAACCAACTTTCATCGGATTCGATTCCATCAACGTCCAAGCAGTGTGAGATGCGAAAGGAATTTTTTTTACTGACTTTGTCTCTAGGTGACCAGGATCAACACACGATTCATGGATATCCTCATTATGCACAAATAATGCACCTATTTTCCAATTTCCGACTTCTGTGTGAGCAAATCGAATCCTTGACGTTACCCCCGACAGAAAACATCGAAATACAGAGTAAGACTAGAGAGAACTCACCAGTTTCTCGTAGAAGGAAAGTGCATCCCCAGACAACACGTTACGTTGGGCCCGTATTGGATAAAGGCAGGAAACGTTGGCGGAACGTGAACATTGGGGAACGATGTCGGCCCCATGTGGGCCCAACGTGGGCATATCCACACGTAAGAAAGGAACTGCAGAACTCCTGGTGGAGAACTTCAAAACCTTCAAGTTCTTCGCCAGGCCACTAGATGGAGGTACGGGGTCTCGCATTTCGCACAGCACACTAAAGTTCCCTTCCTCTCTCCCTGGAATCGTCCTTCGCAGGATTGGTTTCATGGTTTTTAGTGGTATCAGGAGGCGATAACACGTGGGATACCATGTGTCGAGGTCGAGCGTTCCTTAGTTTTAGGGTAGGCCTACTCCTCTTAAAGCTAAATATGTTTGTATTTTTGTGAATTTTGTGATTTTTTAAAGCATATCCTAGTAACTTATTGCCTAGTCCCTTAAGACAACATTTCTCCCCTTCTTGCTTGTCCATAAAAGCATCTACATGGTGATTTTTTATTCATGAGACCATTATAAATATTTATCGTCCTAAAACAGAGTTATAAGCCTGAAATTTCGCATCAAGAATCCATGAACATGGGAAAGTTATGAAAGTTATACTCTATGAAAAAACATGTTCAATGTGTCCTCATCGCGCTATTACATGTCGTAGGAGCGTGGTGAAATTCTGCACAACTCCAGAGGAAATAGCCACATGGATTGAGATTGGGGGGAAATGGTGGCCATACTAATCCACCGCCGTGGATATCAGGAAATCCGCTAGACGGCATTCTGGTACCGAAGTTATCGTGCTGGAAGCCTAACACAACGTTCGCCGTGTTGGTAGGCCATGATCTCAATCCGTGTGACTGTCTTCTCTGGGAATACCTAGAGGGAAAAGTTTTCGAGTCGATGTTAAATCCATGCACGTTTAGAGACCAGAAGGCGGTCACAGAACGTGAAGTGATTCCATTTCCCTGCAAGCAGTTGAGCAGAATTTCACCACACCCCTACGACATGTAATAGCTCGCCGAGGACACATTGAACATGTTTTTCATAGAGTATAACTTTCCCCTGTCTATGGATTCTTGATGCGAAATTTCAAGCATCTATTTATTCCAGGAAGATAAATATTTATAATGGTCCCATGAATAAAAAAAAGTTTCTTCCTTAACACGTTGACGACCAGCCTATTTTTGCTTGTCCGCC